AGGACTCCTTCATGCCCTGAGTGAGTTCCTTGATCGGCTGAGCCGCAGCATGTTACAGCAACAAATTCTTGACCGGCCCTACACCATCAAACTGAGGCTTCCCGACCTCCATTGCTTGGATCATCCGTGCTGTGGAGCCTTTCTGAATGCCCTGCACAAACCAATCGGATGCATATATAACATATAATATGTATAAGCAATTATAAGCCATATTTGTATATATATATAATGAGGAAAATACCTAATAGATCCTAATAGCAATGGCCTCCAACCTAATAGCGATGGCCTCCGACCTAGTATCTCCCAACAGCTGCAGTTGTAGGAACATAGGGGTCAGGATGACTGTGATCCCGTACCTGGTAAACCACCACAAAACCACCCACCACTGTCGCCACAGCCAACCATAACCACCGCAACAAACACCAACTATATAGCAAGTTCCAAGTGCCAGATTTCTGGGCTGGATGCTTAAACCAACAAAAAGAACAACCAGAGTTCACAACATCCCACAACCATCGAATTGTTTGTTGATCGTCGCCCCGTTCGGCCCTCTTCAACCATGCCTTGGACGTGGCAATCTCTTCAGGCGAGGGCCTGCTGCTGGCAGCAGCCGCAGGAAGCCTCAGTTGTCTGTCCATGCGACGCCCCCTACAGCACGAACGTGTCCCCCTGAAAGCCCTAGTGACCATTATTCTACGACATCTACCTGCAAAGGATGGCTTTGCAATTTGGACAGTTAGCAGCTCATGAACACTAAATAGGGCTATGAACCCATGCATCATGCTTTGTAGAAATCAGGTATTTACGAGCCGTGTTCGAACAGTTTGTCTCCTTGCAGGCCTCTTTTTCAGAGTCGATGTTCCTCAGGTCTTCACTATTCATTGTTCCTCCACAGGGCCCTTCTGGCCAGCTTCCAACTAAAACCGGGTCCCAAACCATGTTGCCTCACCCCACCGGGCGAAAGGCGCTCGGCGCTCGGCGAAAGGCGCCGAAACGGGCGCCCGGACGCCTTGATCTTGCGACTGGAAGTGCCCAACCTCCCTGAGCGAGCGCTCACAGTGCTGCGCAAGGAGCGCCTGAACGCCGAGTCGCCGAGGGGCGGCGCGCTGTGAAAAGCACGCCGCCCCTCGGCAGCTGCGAGGGTGATTTAAGATGATTGAAAAGAAAGGTGGGACAATAATGGAAAATATATGTTATCTATTTCTATCTGATATCCGTATGGGCCACCGACTGGCCGATCAGGGAAACTTAATACAGGATGTATCCAGTAGTGAGGAAGCCTTAAATCGATCCCCTTGTGATGGAGAGCATTGACTGACAAGAAACCGCATGACTCATGATGCAATCGAGGGTCCTGTTGTGAATGAACAAGCCGACCTACACCTTGACCGTGGAGCTTTGGTGCTAGGTCTTTGAAGTGTTTTTATTGTTTTCTGCTAGTTCTTATATGTTCTTATGTTTCTTGGCAAGTGGTGGGGTCGCCAGTGTTCTTACGTTTCTTGGGAAGTTGAAGTGGCGACACATCATGACACATCCCGGCACTTCCCAGGTCTCCAATGATGAAGGCACGGTCTCCACCGGTCCTGGAACTCATGCCCGACGGCCCGCGTGGATCCTCCTGGCGCCGATGTGAAACAGTTTGGAGGTCATTTGTACCGATTGGCTCATTCACTTAAGGTTTTCTCTTTAATGAATCAACCAAGCAAGAGTGCAAGGCTATCACTTAACAAACAAGTGGTCTCTCTACTGAATCAACCAAGCAAGAGTGCTATCGGCGATCGGCTCGGCCCCACAGGCACAACGAGGCCGCACAGGCACACAAGGTTCGCTGGGACGAAAAAGACGTCTTTAGTCTTTAGTCTGTTGTTCTTTTTGCGGGTTGGTCACTGAAGGATATCAATATTTCTGAGAAAACATCAGGACACAGCAGGACATCAAATTCACTGCAGGACAGAACTGCATACAGTAAGAAGATGTTTGTCAGTGAGCCGTTGTGCGATTCTTATGCCCTTGCCTGCGGAGCATGCTGAGCATGCTGACCACCACCCTAGATGTTCCAAGCCCTCACCGGCTTGATTCCCAAGCCCTCACCGCACCTCCTCGTACTCGTAGGTCTCCTCAACAAGGCTGAAGCGAGGAGCAAAAAAAAACAAAGAAAGGACCCCAGAGTAACATCTATATAGTTGTCAGCTAGTCATAGCACGCTTTGGGGGTGTCTCATGAGAGTGTGTGTATATATATAGAGCAATGAAAAAAGAGAGAGTGTTGTTGTTGTTGTTGTTGTTGTCGTCGTTGTCGTTGTCGTTGTGGTTGTTGTTGTTCTTTTGGCGCAAGCAACCATTTCTCACGCGAGGAATAGTTGATGCTATTCAAATCTATATACTCAGACTTGGGAGTAACCAATCCCAATAGTGCGGGTATGCAAACATTCAAACACACACCAACTAAATTGGCGGTTGGTTAAATAAAAATAAACAGGATACCTCAGTTGACCTACCAACGATACTTGCGTAATTAATCCATCCGAGCGCATCCCTAGGCCCTTCAGCTTTGCCGGGTACCAGGGATTTGGGGTACATCACCGCTATACAAAAGGATCTACATGACATGACCACTTAGCTACGTGAAACCGAATGTGCGCGCAGCTTGGAATACGAGATAATACGAGACAGTGGCACAAAAGCATCGAGGCACATTAAAATTATATAAATGGAAAAACAACTGCACCTGCCACAAGATATTTGAGCAAATTCACACTAGACTATTTCAATTCTGAATTTTGGGCCTTCCGAATATTGCGTCGATACAAAAAGTATTGTTCAAAGGTCATGGACACTGCTGGGACTGATGGGAAACAAACCTGCACAAAGGTCATCGGAACAAGTCCATCCGGGTGATAGGTTGGCTTACATTTTAAGTCAGTGTACTGCATGAACGTCTTTTGAACAGCCACCGCATTCCCGTAGCCATGCCCCAAAAAAACCAACGGCCTCAATCTGGACCGTCTCGTCATCTTCGATGCAAGCGGTGCCATCTCCATTCCCAAGACGCTTGGACTGCCTCAATGGTGCTGCCACTGCAAAATGAGTAAGGCTTAACCAAAGCCAAACCGTGTGCTCTTAAACATAGATAACCTTGGATAACCTTGAATAGTCAAAAGTAAAAACATCTCAAAGCTGTTCAAAAGGCATCATTCCACAAGGAAACATGAGATCTTTGGTTGGTAACCACGTTCCGCACATGCAGTTTGTCCATCCCCAACCCCAAAAGATCGTACCCAGCCAAGACGCCAAGACATGTTGATGGCATCCTTTCCGAAACATTAAAAGCCCTGCCCTAGGCTTTGTTAGTTAAGGAGACCCCGCAGGGTCAGGGAGGCCCCTTAGATGGCAGGCGGCGCCCCCGAGACAAGACACCTTTCCTGTATATTGAAAGCCTGTACCTTGACCCTTCAACATCAGAACTTGACCGACGCGACCTCTTGAGGTACTCAACAAGCAACGAGGGCGAGGGCGACCTCTGTCCCAAATGATGATTGAAATATATTGAAATCACATGACTTCACTTCAAAAAGAAACAAGTCCAGCAGTTCGAAAAGGGGAACAAACATGGAAAAAAAAAAAACACTGTCCAGCAAAGAAGGCGTGGTGTTGGTGTTTGGGTTTTGGTTCACGTGAGTGGATCCGACAGACCACCTCCTCGACCCAAGACCCGCCCAAGGCCAGGCCGAAGATCTGGACCTGCTGAAAGGGTCGATGGTTCCACATCCACATCGAGCCGTTGCTTGATTCACCCAAGCAAGCACACACAGCCCACATGGCGGCCCATGGCTGCCAGGTGGCGACTTCGGGAACTTTGTGGTGGTGGTGTGGGTGTGCGAGTGCCTCAGTCCGTCCGTTGCGCCGAGTCGAAGGTCCATGCGCTTTGGGAGCAAAAGCCCAGGGAGAAGTCGGAGATCGTCATGCGCATTTTACACGTTTTGTTCTCACTGGTTCCCAAGCCTACAGTACTGCTTGCTTCGTATGCGAAGACTAGTAGTGAAGAGGCCGTCGAGAAGAGGCCTATTTGTAAAAACCCTTCGAGACCCGCAACGTGTGCGCTTGGCCAAGCAACGTGTGCGAGTGGGTGTGGGACGTGGTGTGGGAGTGCGTGTGCTTCGTCACGACCTGAGGCGAGCGCCCCGAAGAGCGGTGGCAGTGTCGAGCCAAAAAAAACGGATGAATACGATAGGCCAATTGGGGTGTGAGGGGGACACCCATGATCTAGCCTTGAAGTCGGATCTTTGGGCGACCTGGGCGGCCGCTGGATCAGCGACTGTGCGCTCAGACGGTGAAAAAACACTGCTCTTTGGCTGCAAAAGCTCACGAATCTGTCGGTTCTTCTCCAGGTCGCACATCACCGCCTAGCAGTTCCAGGAACTGCAGCTGCATTGTTGATTTTGGGCCACGCCCATGTGTTGGGAACTGCGGCCGCTATTTCGGGTTGCAAATGGACGTCCATTTCACACTCCTAAATTAGAGTAAGTCAGTATGGTTCCTGTTCCTTCACCATAAAACAATAATGCCGCAGTTATATGATATATGTTTATATATTATAGTCCCATTCAAAAAGAATGCTCCCCTTATTTTGGTTGCCTCCATAGTCAAAGCAACTATGCAAGAGTTCCCAAAAGAAGTTTAGGATCTCCCTACATTCCATGATACAATCCTCTCCTTGGCTGGAAGCAGCAGCCAAAGGACAAAGAACTTCACAAGCTCCAACACTTAAACTACGCGAAGTATGTACAGTAAGCCATCCAACAACTTGAAGCATATGCCCCCAACACTCACCAAGCATCTCAGAATGTCCACACCAACAAACATCAACAAGCCCTTCTCTCCCTAGTTTGAGACGCCGAACGTGTGCATGGAAAAGCCGACCAACAACAAGGTGAGACTCCCTGGAATCATCGTGATCGTGGAGTTATCGTGGACAAAAACAAGTGTTCACTCCACATGACTTCACGAGAGTGAACTCCTCGGAGCGCGGTCCTGTCGTTCCAGCTCTCGAGTGCACACGTGCGCGGAGAGTTCTGCTTCTTCCATCTCTGCTTCCAACCTGGGCGTGTTCGGACCGAGCTACGGAAGAGAAAACGGGGAAGAAATGAACGATACGTAGGGACCTGGATGGATCTTGGGTATGTCCATGTATGTTCCATGAGTGACCATGGATGAAATCCGCTTATTGGTGAGTGAAGACGTGGAATATATAGACATACAAAAAAGACATGTAAAAAACAGTTCCCCAAAATAGTGGTAACCGTTTACCGACGGTTACTGGTCATGGGACACACCCTTTAATAACTGATATTGACAATTTGGAGGCCTTCAAAGGCTCAAAAAAGCAATGCATGGAAAAGTCACACACCCAGTGGTAGTTTCAAAGGTCTGTCTGTAGGTCGAGAAAATCTAGCCCCACATGGTCTCATAGATTGCCCAAGGGCATGGCTGTCACGCTGAGTCACGGTCTTTGGAATACTTGCATTTTTTCAACATTGGCCCCTCTCCAAGAAAGAATTTCGATGTGCACCAGCACCCCAACCCATGGGTGGCGAATGATCACGCTGGACACCCCTTAACCAAATTAGTGTGGGTTTGCAAACGCGGAGGTTCTTATTTTCGATTCCAAAGAGCTCATATACAAGCCCAAGGAAAGAAGGCACACCCTGGCACGTCCCTTCACTCTGGAATGACCATTAATCACAGAAATCCCTTCCACATTGGCTGGGTTTACCATGCTTTTAGGTCTTAGAGCCTCAACCTCGACCGGATCCGCCTCTTCTGCATCGATTGCGCCAGGCTCAAAGCCGTCGAACCGCCCTCATCCACCAGCTCCACGTCTGCGCCGGCCCGCACCAGCGCCTGGGGTAGGACGGGCCCAAGGGACTAGGGACTGATGGGTCCATCTTTAAAAAAGACCTTGACCTGCGCTGAGAAAAAAAAGGATGGAAAACATGGGAAAAGGCTAGCGCCATTGGTGCAGCAATTCCTGGCTGCACTGGCTGCAACGTCGGAATTCCACTGGTTGTGCGGGGTGACAGTGCGAGTGATGTGCCGGAAAAGAGTTGACCAGGACCAGGACAGCCGCAAACTGAGTCTCAAGAGAGGGGGGGTCTGATGGGTCCAGCAAATCAACTTCCATCCAGAATGTCGCAGCAAAGGGACAAAGACTCAACTGCGTCGCAGGAGTGACATGCGTTCTGGTCTTCGCCATGAACAGGAATCTACTGACTATCGAAACGCTCACTTCCAAGTTCCACTGGCCAGCTACTGTTTGTCGAGGGGATCCTTGCCAGCCTTGCCAAACCCCAGAGTGCCGGAGTGCAGCGGCCTCGATCATTTTCTGGTTGTTCACGCACACAGCCTGTGGCACCATGGAAAACAAACCAGAGGCTCCGACAAAGGGTGAGAGAGATCAAACTACACAGCCACCGACGTCACCCGAAAGTCAGAACCAAGTGCCTGTCCAAGCGCACCTGTACGTGGTGTGCGTGTGTGTGTCGCTCTGAGAACATCGAACCGGGATGTGTTGGGCAAATAGTCACCCCACCCCATGCCACCCCGAAGCCTGCTGCCGGTTACATCAACCCAATGAATTTGTTGTTGGTCGTCATGCCTGAAAGCTAGACCTCTGATACCTCTAAAATCAAATCTAATATTATAATGTTCCATATAACTCCAGCCTGGTGCAGTGCCGTGAAGCTAAACTCCGAACCACGCCAGTTCACATCAGCCTCAAAATGCATCAGAAAAAAGTGGCTGCATTTGGAGGCTGCAAAACCGGAATGGTGGTTCCAATTAATGAATGTTGCCATAATGTTGCGTCTTTTCACCCCAAACATGCTCGCATGGGCTTTGCCTCGTGCTTTCAGTCACAAACGCCATGAAGTGAGTGTGAATGACTTCTTGCTCCTAGTAGCTAGCGTCCTTGTTCCTAGTTTGAATGACTTCGAGGTGACTCTCTTCGAGGTGCGGCTGTTCATTCGCCACAGTGGGCGAGGGATGAAGGATTGCAGTGTAGTCAGAGTCTATTTTGATAGGTCTCGCGGCGAATCATAGCGAACCACTGTATATAGTGGACTGATGATCAAGGGCTGGCCTTACTTGGCCTTGGACATACTTGGACTACCTGGGCTGGCTGGGGTAAGTCACTTGGACTACCTGGGCTGGGTGGGGTAAGTCATTCACTCAAGTCATTCCGCACCGGCTTCCGAAAGATATTTAACGGTTCCGAGGTGCCCGAGCTGAAAGAAGGGCGATGGCGATGGCAGGGTCATCCAGGCCAACAGCTTTGAACAAAGGAGTGGAATCGTCCTCCTCCTGAGGATGACGGAAGCGGCATGGGGCCGGGCCGTTTTCCATCACGTGCCTTCCAAACAAACAAATGTCCAATGCTGTGTCCTATCTATCCTTCAAGTATCCTATCTGTGTCAGTGGTGCTCAGGGGCCGGTGATGCATTTTACATCTAGAGAGAGAGAGAGAGAGAGAGACGACCAAAGGAGAGAAAAAGAGAGAGAGAGAGAGAGAGACAGTTGCTTTTGCTCCTTCTCGTGGGGCCGGAATGGGATATACAACACTCATCAACACTCCATGAACTCCTCAGGGGCGTTGCATGAAATATGGTCGAAGGCTCTAGGAGTTGCACAATGAAAACGGTGCACCCTTTGCTTCGGCTTCTGACGTCGCTTCAATTGGACATGGACATCGTTTACAGGAAGCCCACCCACAATCAAAAGCGGACTGCGGACTCACGTCTGACTTGTGCAATTCACATCAGACTGTATGCTCACTGTAGACTAGGGAGCACACGAGAAGGGACTCCAAGATGTTCCAAGCTCCTACCCTAGGGATCCAAGTACCTTCTCAGGTTAGGTGATTGGAGACACTGTTATGTAGGTTTGGAGGGTCCAAGTACCTTCTGAGAAGGTACTTGGATCCCTAGGGCTATATTATAACAAATCAGGAAACCCCAACCCCAATCGGTCCTTGTTCAGCTCCGCGCGTTGTGTGATGAGCCGTTGGACCTGGGTGTGGCATGACACCGGCCTACAGGCTGTGGGAGAGGTTCTTCCCCCAGCGTGTTTATACTCTATAGTTAAACAGTTAATCAGGGTCAATGTCATTGTCATGAAATGCGTATTATATTGTATCACCTATGTACGCAAGTGGTTGATGATTTAATTCATTGGACTGTTGTTGCACATGATTTCTCAAGGACTTTCTCAAGGGCTTGTGCAATCTTGTGCCTGGATTCCTCAAGATAAACTTCGATCTTCGACAAACGGGGTGCCTGCAAGTAGGCTTGCAACCATAAAGTGGAAATTTATTTTTGATAACCTTCTGATCTCCCTGATCACGAAAGGTAGCTTGAGCTACCTGAGTTCTCCTTGCTTTAGCAAAAATGTATTACAATCAGGAGTTGGGATTGTGCATTGAGTTTGGTCCTGTAAGAGTTGATTCTGTTCGTCGGGGGGTGGGGGGTCCCCCCCCCCTGGATCAAATCCCCCCTGCGCCGGTTCACGCCGTCATGGACTTCTACCAGGGTTACTTGTGATTGCCTGCTACCTTTCGTTCACCCCCTCCTCTCTCAAGTTCCTATGTTCAATCCAGGATGCTCAACAACATCCGCCAAAGGCGGGGCGTAGGATGTCAACCCTTCAAGGCCCCAGAAGCAAACCCAACTCCAGCCCAAGAAGCCAAGGTCTCATCCCCAGACAGCACCGCAGCATGAAGCAATGAATTTTCCCCGTCCTGGACGGTGTTGTAGCCACTCATTGAAGCAAAGCGCTGGACATCGGTCGATTTGGCTGGAGATCATCCACGCAGGTCTTTGCTCAAGGAAAAAGAGACCTCAGAACTATATAGTCAGTAGATGTCAGTAGCCTTGATGAAGTGCTCGGGAATGTTATGCTTGTGAATGATAGCACTTGGCCCCAGAATGACCCGGGCCAGGGAGAACGTGGTAGAACATAGAGGTGGCCGGTGGCTTGGCGGATTCACACAGTTGCTTCCAAACTAAACCAACACCTTGTATCACCTGCGCTCCCTACACCATGAAAAGTTAGGAACATCCTCAGTCCTCGAGCTACAGGGCTCTTCCCAATCCAGGCTTCGAAACCGGTGATTCACCAAGTGTGGGAAACGTTATAAACGCGCCTTAATTTAAAGGGATGTGTTTATGTCCGCAGTGAGTGGAAATGGGCCCCCGTTCAAACTCTTGCTATGGCCTATGGCCATTTGGTGTTGAACCCCTACTGTCGACTGTGGAAATTCTCTCAGCCTGGTGGCCATGGACGCTTGAGGGCTAACCTGGGTCAAGTCATTACTCATGGAAGCAACTTGAAGAATCAAAGGTCTGGGATCTGTGGGACTTTCGGGGCGGTGCCGGAAACATTGTAGATTTGACTTCTCGTTTCCATCGCTCGTTTCCACTCCGCTGACGGAGCCGAGAGCTGCAGTCTAAGTGGTGGGGTGGATGTAGGGGCTCAGGGGGGGCGCATCCAAGCGGGTGGTGTTGAGGAGACATGCAATCGGAAGCCCGCAACTGCCCCGGAAGATGACACTGGGTTTCACAAGACATGTGAGGTTGTGGCCTGATCTTGGCGAACACAGGCTTGCAAGAGGTGACCAAAACACGCAGCCATGCTCTAGTCCTTCCCCAAAAAAGGACGGAAGAATCCAGTTCTCTTCCCCCTAGACCAGATCTAGACTAGATGGAGCCTCCTCAAATGGGGTGATTGTGCAATCCCGCTCCAACCTGCACATCATCTGCAAATAAACAACTTCAGAACCTCAAAAAGTCAGGCATTGACACGGCCCAGGCTACTAAGGACTCCACCTTGGTCCTGGCAGCTGCACAGGGCGTCCATTAATCGGCAATGCTTCTTGTCATGCAATGACAGTACGAAGGATCCTAGGCCTCCTAAGGGGAAGAATTTCAACAACCAAACTATTCAATATTTGAAGAATGAACAACTACAAACTTCTAGCTTGCTTCGTGCCAGTGCCATAGCAAACTAAGCAGCTTGCAAGGCACCCTCTGAGAACCTGTTGGTGAATCTGTGCTGGGGCTCGGTAAAAAGGTACAGGGAGAACTAACGGCTAATAAATTATTGATCTATTGCCACCATGGCCATGGCACTACCTACCTTCTGTAACTTGCAGGTGCTTCTAACTTTCCTACGTGTCCTTTCCATCCTCTTTCCGTCTGCGCCATCCCCTGTCACGTCTGCCGCGCGTTCGACCAAACGTCGCCGGACTGCGAATTCGTGCCTGGCGCCATTGGGGTCCTCCTTCGCCAGCTGCATGGAGCCGCCACCCCGCACTGAGAGCGCCAACCTCGCAGACATGGGGCATGACCCCGGTGTGGTTCAAGAGGATGGTGTGAAACAACTTGAAAATACCAATGCGCAAGAAATCATCGCGACTGGTTACGGTTACCTGTTCATGAAGTCTTGGCCGGCCCAGGTGAAAAA